CCAAATCATCATCTATCTTAAGTTCACCTCTAATTTGCCCTAACTCATTTTCAATGTCTGAATTCGATACAAGCAAAGGAGAAGGACAGGAAACTTTACCAATAAGATGATCCTCCAATTCATGTGATCTTACAGCGAAGAGAACCTGTGAGCTCCAGAATCGATAGTTGTTTCTTGTGAGCTTTGGACTGATAGTTTGCAAACTTGCAGGTTAAGCTGAGGATGCACAATTTACAGATTCTTTGAGCAAGTGCGAAGTGGAGCGATCGATTGACTCTCTTAGGAGTTCTTCTACACTTTTAAGTGATTGTGTGGAACCAGAATCAGTCACCATTAATGTTAATCAGTAGCTCTGATACCAAGTCAAAACGAAAAGAAAATTGAAAGAGAAAAGCTAGCTAAGTGAGCTGATTCAGTAGCATTTCTCATTAACTAATTGGAGCTACAGTTTCTTCTATTTATATAGAGAAGAGCAAAACGGCACCGCATGACAATTGTGCCTAATTACAAAACAGTCTGATAACTTTGCCTAATTACAGAACTATCCTTTTCAACATTTGGTCAACAAGGAGTAATAATACCTAGATTAATAATGCGTTTGTTTTAGTATTTTTGAAAAAGTATGAGTTTGGTGAGAATAACGAAATAGGATTTAAAAATTAACAAAAAAACCCCTCATGTTTGTTAATTTACTAAACACCCTTATAATAAAAACATTAAAAATTATAAAAAACACCCCCACCCACCCATTAAATACTAGCAGTCAGCCAGTACCACCGGAGAGTAGTCGAAGTCGTCGTATCAGACCGGTTGGATATGGTCGCTCGTGACCTGAGATGGCCTTTTCCAGCCAAATCCACCATGGATCTGGCTAGAAAAGGCCAAATCTACTGCTAGATCTGGCTGATATTTCCATTGACAGCCAAATCTGGCCGCGTTGTTTCTCTATCCTATTCTTATTCCAAATCAAAATGCATATTTGTTTCCTATTCTCAAAATCTTATCCTAAATTATTCAACTATTTTTAATTTTTAAATCCTACCTCGTAATAATCACCCAACTCTACCTAACAATAATATTTCAAAAATGCTACTTCAAATAACCAAACAAACGAACCCCTAGCAGTGCATGCATATAAAGATTTGATGTATGAATCACCCCATCTCCATTGCTATTACATAGATTTAAATTATTCATTAGAGACAAATACCAAACACCTAAAATGAGAGTTAAAGAAAACTCTGTTAACCATTAAATATGGAACTTGATTATTTGGAATTTTTTAACCTTGATGATCATGAGATGTTGTCTATATTCATGAAACAAGGAAATTTGGCTATGTCCTTTTACAAATTGTTTTATGCGGTCAGGCGCTGCGCATGGCCTCGTTTGCTCCGCCGAAAAGCCAGGACGTGGCCACCCTTGCGCTGTCGGCAAGGCCGCCACCATTTGTTTATGTGCTTATTTCTTATTTAGATTAAAGTTTTTAAAGTGAAGTGAAAGTGGTAAAAGCAAAAAGAAAAAATAATGAAAGACAATTATATTCAAAGATATAATTTTACCATGTGTTTTTCTAATAATTTTTACTTTATGATATAAATTTAACTTTGAATTAAGTTACTGTAACAAAAATTTTTATCCCAAATTTATAATACAAACCATCATCTATTGATTCAAAACAATCCAATAGTTTGGAAGTTCCAGACTTATAAATAACTCTAAGCCCTCATTTTCAATCATTGAATTATCTTGAATCAATGGATAAAATTTTGTATCAAAAACTTGTATTAAAATAGTCTAACCCTTTAATTTTTAGAAATTAATAAAAATATTTAGATAAAATTTTAATATTGATGCGTGATTTTGACACCAACTAAATGCACATGTGAAATGCTGAGCTGACCCAGAGAACACACGTGAATGGAGGTATGAGAATGGATAATTGATGGAGAACGATGTTTAAAGTGGTTTGGATGCTTAAACAAGCGACTCCTACATCCACTGATATTGTATTAGTATATTGAGGTCAGTTCGCGTTCAACGGGTTGACTTACAAGTGATTACAAAAAGAAAATAAGTAAGCTATTACAGAGAGGAATTAGCTAATCCCACAAACGGGAGAGGAGCCCTCTATTTATTGTGGGATGGATTGAGGTAATAATTACTAAATCAGGAAGTGTGTTAGATTTCCATCCAAATCCTTCATTGCGCCCCGTTATTCACTTCCCGAGTGATTTACTCGATTCTCGCAAGGATTGGACACGTGGATCACGTCCAGCCTTTCACCAACCTGACGCGCACCTACTACACTGGTAGAAGCGCGCCTCTTGCGTCAGCGCGCGACGTGGTTGCACCTAAACGACACCTGGACTTACCTAAGGTCTGACCACTTGCGCTGATAGGGTTCTGCGTCAACCCTACTTTTCCAAGCATAACATTTAATAAAGTTCAAATAACACTACTCTAGATTTTCAATTAAGAATAAATACAAACAAATATAGACCTGCAAACTTTGGATTAATCATTAATATATAAAAAAAAAAAAAAAATTAACATACAATTTAATTAAATAATCAATGTATTTCTAGATACACTAAAATTAATTATTTTTAATATCTCAATATTTTCACAAAAAAACATAAAATGGATTAATATAAGAACACACCCGACTAATAATGAAATTTTATATCCTAAGTCTCCAATGTATCTTGTAACTTTAATCAGGATCATAAGTTATTCTATTTTTATTTAATTGGGCATTTCCTTTTTTTGAAATTAAAAAAAAAAAAAAAAAAGAATTAGTTTAATTAATATTGTTCATGAAATTCCCTAACATCAAACTGTAAACTTATAAAATTACAAAATTAGATAATTAGGTATTATTATGGTGAAATTTACATGGTTTAGCATAGTAAGACAAACTCTATATTGTTAATAAATATTTTAATAATACTTTATGTACAAATTTTTTCATACAAACTAATGTGTCAAATAGTAAATGGGTGAATGCATGTAAAAAGCCGACTCGTTAAATACTTAATCAATATAAATAAATAATAACGCTAGATGTATAAAGAAATTTTACAAAGATTTGTATACAAACTGATGTTACAGAAAATGAATAGAATTAGTGAATACAAAAAATCAAACTCATCATATTCATTCTTCCATTCATTTTTTATCACATCAGTTTGTATAAATTTTTTTATAAAATTTGTTTGTACGTCTAGTATTTCTCATAAATAAATGACTTGTCAATCAAATGAGAATGCTAAATCAATTTGTATTCGAGTTTGTACAGGTAACACCACTCTAAAGATTTTACATGTTTTACCATTAATCAAAATAATTCTTTTTCTACAAATTTTTTTTAATAATTTTAATAAAGGATAAAATAATATTTAAAAAGATTAATAATTGAGATGTGATAAGATAATAGATGGGGGCTTAAGAAAGTGATATATAATTATGAGAGAGTTAATTCAAATTCCAAATCATGATTTATGTATTTTAATTATAAGACACTTGACCTAGATGAATAAAGCAACAAAAGAAAAGATGCCTCAATCTTAGGTAAGAATAAATTCATTCACTCAAGCTTTTGAGTTCCTTCACTTTTATAGTGGGCCATTCATGTTCAACTTTAACTTTCTCTCCCATTTTCATGTTGCTAGAAGAACAAAATGAATTCAACTGTTCAAAATTATAATCATAAATTAAAGGAAACTATATAAAGGATTAAAAGGATGTAGTTTTTATCCTTTATTAATTAATAGGTAATACTATAAGGTACAAAGTTTATATATTGTTCAATTAAGAGACATCTAATGATTATTTGATGTTAACTTTAACATAAAATAACAAAACGATTTAGATTCCCTTGATTTTTTTTTCTTTTTTTCTTTTTTAAGTTAATTTAGTTCTTAAATTTAAATTCAGAAAATCTTAAAAAACTAAAACAAGACCAAAAATAATTTTTTTTTAAGGAAATAAAAAATAACAAAATTAAAAAAATTAATAATAGGTTTTTTATATTTTTTTTTATATTTGTTGTTTTATATTTTATATTTTTATAATTTAGATTATTTATTTTATATAAAAAAAGAATAATTTAAATCTATTTTTTTTTATTGTTTATTATGTTAAATTAATCATTTTGAATTTAATTATTTATTTTGTAAAAAATAATTCAAATTTCAACTACATTTTTACATTTCTATAAGTTAAATTTAACTGTATGTAAGAGTATCTCCAATGTTGTTTTTTATTTTAAAGAGCACATTTTTTTATAAATAAAGAGCATTTTCATTAATTTTTAAATATAAAGAACAACATTTTTATTCAAATCTAATAGATTTTTTAAATTTTAGGAGATAGAATATGTTTTTTCAAGAAAGAAACTTAATAGGAGAGATAAATAATAAATAATAAATAAAATGTATAAAAACTTATAATTTATTATTTAAAATTAAGATAAATAGTGAAATTTGACTTCTAGATGTGGAGAGTCAAACTCACTCTTTAATTTATATTTAAAGAATAAAAAGTATGTTGGACTCTTGTTTTTATGGATAAAATATTTATAATAAAGAGTTTAGTCATATAAAGAGTCATTTGGAGATGCTCTAACTATATATTGTCTTTTAATTGAAGAATTTGTAATTTTTTCCTTCCGCTCAAAAGTCTAAAAAGTTTGTAATCTAATTGATGATAATATTCCCAACTAATATAAAAACAAATTTTAAAATCATGGTCATCGAAATAAAACTAAAATTTTGTACCTAATTTGAAGACTTTAATATGGAGTGTTCAATTAAATTGAAATATCAATTGAATATATATTTATATATATAGTTAGCGTATAAATTAGGTATAGTATTGCTTGTTGTTGAAATAAAGCAGAAAATATAAGTAGATTTTGTGTGTGGTAGGCAGCTTAATTATAAGGAAGAGAAATTAAAGAATATACATAAGTATTTATTTAATGAAGCAGCTGCAAATATTTAATTAATTAATTTATCTAATGAAACAAATATAAAGTTACATGATGAAATAAAAGATTTAACCTAATTTCTCTTCCACAACCTTATCTCTAAAATAACAGCAATCAGAAATAAGATGGTGATAATGACCCCATAACCAGCATTCCATGACTTCCCTTTTTCACCTAAATGTATCCCATAGAATATATTTGCTATTGCAAATATTATCATAATCCTCCCCACGTTGTGATGGTACCAATTCCAGTATTTTCTCACCTTAGAAGTCTTGTCCGGTCGAGCCAAAAATGCCATTATCTGAAGGCAGCCGAGAACCAGTATGATGATTCCAAGAGCTTTGTGGGAAGAGACATCGGCATCAAGCTTCTTATTTAAGATGATTCCACAAATTACACCGGCTAATCCAAGCATAAATCCGAGTGATTGAATCAAAGTATGGGCATAGAACCAAAGTGGATCCCATTGCTTGGAGTAGCGAGCAACTATTGCTCCAATTATCATTAGAATTCCCCAACCTAACATGTTTAATATTCCATGGCCCTTTCTCAGCTTTGCATGCGGGGTTTCAGATTTGGTTTGACCTGTTTTCACACGCAAATATATCCAACAATTTCTAATCGTTAATTAATTATTTTAAAGAAATTAAAAGTAATTAATTACATACATAAAATTAAGAAAAAATCACTTTAAATTGATTTGAGTGGTAGCTATAGGACTACTTGAGACAATATAAAAAATAAAATAACTTAAACAATAAGATAAACTAGAGACAAAAGAAAAGTTAATAATTTATTGAATATTTGTTAAGATGAATACTAATTAAATGATAATTGACTTGCATCATTATTAACTTATTAACACAGATTAATTAGTGCAAGTCACGTGTAATATACTAATATTAACGCATCATCTATATTCTAAACCCTAAATAATAAGAAATTAAAATTAAAAAAAAAAAAAAGTTGCCAAAATAAAATAAAAATAATTAAACCCATCATATTGTATAATAATACCAAGATGAATATGTATGTGGTTTGGTCGTGGTCGGCACATCGTCATCACGCATTATGAGTAAAACTTAAATTAAACAAATTTCATTAAGAAAAATGCCAATTCAAACTTAGATGATTCTTACCTGTAACGTAATTCAAGGCGGTGGACGCCTTGTCAGTGTGCTCCACCAGGGCAAAGTTAGGTGAAATCGGGAACACAGACGATTGGCCGACGGCGTATATCACCCGTGACAGCGGCTGCTCGGTGTTGAGCTGAAAAATTAAATACAGACGTTTTGATTGAGGTTGAGAAATTATCATTGATGAATTGACTTGTAGATTTCCTTGGTCATGTAACACTTGGTCTGATCTTTGTCCACTCAGTTGATACTGTTTTATCGTCCCTGTTCCAGTGGTTGACATCCACCCCACGATTGCACTCGACCCCACCATCTGACCGTTGGGTGAAAATCCCATTGCTATGTAGGAATTTGAATCAGGGACTGAGAGAACGAAGCTCCATAAATTTGGAGATGTCTGCGCATACTGTACACGAAACCAAATCCAATAAATATCGTCAGCCGTGCAGTATAATTAAGAAATGATCCATGAAAACTTAGCGACATAAAAAGTATAATTAAGAAATGAAAGGCTTACTCTGAGAATGAAGTTATGGGAAGACCAGACTGGAGCGCAATTGAGAGTGGTTGTGTCAAAGCGGACCTGATCGTTGAGGTTGACGTTGGAGGAGCATGAATCTTGAGTTTGTGAGGTCACAAGAGCGATGAAGAAGAAGAAGAAGAAGAAGAGGATAAAAGAGAAACAATTAGAAGGCTTCATGATGACGAATCTCTGAAGCAAACTAAATTTTTCTGAATTTTCTCTCTCAGTATTAGTTGAATGATCGAAGTGGTGTAGTTGAAGACTTTTTAAGGGAAAGTATAGTGGGTGGTGGTGGTAATTATATACAATCAAATGGTGAATCTTTAGACTACCCTTAAAAAGTTTTGAATTTGCAGATGACAATTGTTTCACTTTTTATCATTGGACTCTCTAAATTTGAAAAATGTATCACCGATACCCCTTTACCTTATCAAATGGACTCTTAAAGTTTAAAACTTTATCAGTCTAGGGACGGATCCAAAAATTTCAGTTAGGGTTAGTCAAAATAAAAATTAATTGTATATTAATATTTTTGTCCATTAATATTTATGTTATGGTGGATCTAAAATCCAGAAATTGTACATATTAATATTTTTTTTTAATTAATTTGAGGGGGGACTATGAGCACTGCATCCACCCTTGTTTATCACCGATAACTTTTACCCTAACCCTCGCCGATACCTTTTACCCTAACCTTGTTACATTGTCATTAAGTTTACAAAACATGTTCTCATAAGACCAAAGTTATTATTTTATGTCAAACACTTTCTTATAAGACTTAAGTTATCATTTCACCCAATTATTACAAACAGTAGCACAATAGAGATAGAACAAAAGGGTATTTATTACATTTTTCAAACTTTGAAGTTTTATTTGATAAAAAGTGTGTAAGTAGTTATCTAAATGATAAATTTGAAAATCAAATCTATGATATTTTTCCATAATCAAAGAGAGAAAATGATTGACGTAATATTTTAAGAAGAAATTGTTGGAAAGAACATGGGTTCCTTAGGCAATAACGATTTTTGATTAAACTAATTGGCATTTAAAATATTAGGTAAGTTCCAAGCTAGCCCGGCCATGGATATAAAATATAAAGAAAAAAAGGTTAAAATAATTTGGAGACGAGTGAAGCCACATGGTGATAATCAGCAGGTCCAAATGGAATGGTAAAATTCGGTCGGCAACATAGGAATTAACACCTTGAACATGAATCCATTTCTGAATTCAAGCCAATTTAATCATCCAATATTCAAAAAGTTGACCTTAAGTTTGGATGTTGCTAATTGTGACAAAAATTTGATCAAAACCAAGTGGAATATATATGTATCTTAAAAATTCAAATTATAGTTTACAATCAAAGGGCCGGACTTAAAATAAGTATGGTGTATATGTTAATTATATTATTAATTATACATGCATATTGAGTTGCTTGATATTGGACTTTAGGGAAGTCATTTTTAGCCACATCTAATAAGCTTAGAGAGCTATTTTCAATATTAAATGGGGTATAAAGAATTTTTTTTTTTTTAAATAAAATAAGTATGTTTAGTAACCGAGGGATTATGATAAATTAGATGAGGTCTAAAAATCGATTCCTTATAAATAAATACAAGTGTAAGTTGAGGTGCAGGCCAAACAAAATAGATATCCTACTTTAACTTACAATCTGAGAAAAATTAAAGGGTGCGTTTGGTTCAGTATTTTGGATAGGATTTTGGGGATAGGATTGGATAGTTGGATAGGGTTATGATTACGAGAATAAGATTTTTAGAATATGTGTTTGGTTGAGTATTTTGACCTTGATATTTGTATTGAATATTTGATTAATATATTTTTTTATAAATGATTTATTAATATAATATTTTGTTGAATTTTGTTAAAATAATGTATTATTATATATATAACTTATCAAGTTACATTTTAATAATACTAAATATTTTATTGGTAATTTTGTCACCCGTAGATATTAAGAAACAAAAACCCATATTAATTTCAAGTACTAATTCAACTGTTTAAAAACATCATATTCATACATATATGACAAAAGTACTAATTATCAACTCTTACAATCATTCTTACACATATACTCCATTAACAACTATTACATGGTCCACTGTGCTGCCCACAGTGCATTCGTTATGTTATCCCGTATAGTCGTCATGTTGTCTATAATACCTTGTTGCGGTAGACTCGGTCCTTCTCCATTTCGGCCATATTCTGTCCCGTTTTGACGATCACAATATATTTGCTCATTACCTATATTATTATTGGTTTGTTCGAAGATACGGTCGTCCATATTGTGCATTCTGATAAAATTATGAAGTACACAACATGCCATAACAATCTTCCCTTGTTTGTCCAACGGGTAATTGTTCATTCCATTCAGAATACGGAACCGTCTTTTCAAAACACCAAAGGTTCTCTCGACAACATTGCGGAGTGAAGCATGTCTGTAGTTAAACAACTCTTGCGGCCCTCTTCGGTTACGGCGATGATCAGAAATATGGTGAGCCACTCGCCTATGAGGGGCAAGGAACTCGTCTCTATTTGGATAACCCGCATCAACCAAATAGTATTTCCCTGTAATAATATCAGACATTTTATTTGAATTACAGGGCCTCAACAGTGGAGCAAATACGCTATAATACGTCAAGAAATTACTTATACCTGGTGGAGGATGTGGGAATCCAGAATTAGGATCATCAAGAATTGAATTTAAAACTCTTGAATCATGCGCAGATCCTTCCCATCCAGTAACGACATAAGTGAACATCATGTTAAAGTCGCATACAGCCATTACATTATGTGTCTTCGTTCCTTTGCGATTCCGGTACCTATCGGCAAATTCACGTGGAACCGAAGCTTATACATGTGTGCCATCCATGGCTCCAATACAGTCCTATCATGAAAATTGAATTTTACTCATATTAACCGACTATAAAAATTAATAACACAACGAACTTAACTATCTACTAATAGAAAACATAATGAACCAGTACCTTAAAGAAAGGGTAATATTTTCTGTTGGCTGATATTTCCCATGGAACATCATTAAAGTCAAGTAGTCTGATAAACTCTATCTTCAACTCACATATAGCATCGCAAATTGCGGCAACATGTTTAGAGATCGTCTCACCCGAATGTTGGAAATCCTCCATCATCGTTCTGATTGTCTCATTTTTTCCAACGATTGTTAGAAATATCATAACTTGTTCTTCCAAACTCGTATTCCTGGTTGGTTGCAATTTGCCTTGATCGGACAAAATTTCACATAAGTATGTAAAACAGTCTTTGTCCATGCGGCACTTGTCATAGATCCTGTCAGGATGACCATTGAGTACTTCTAACATGTACTCATGACCAATTAATATGGATGTATGTCGAGGTTCAGGCCTACTTGCTTCTAACGCGGCAACACCGCAGAGTGCAATGGCTATATCTGTCAGTATTTCTTCTTCGTCCCTCTCATCTGTAGCACGTCATCTTCTTCCTGTACGGCTAGACGACGCCATTTAAACCTACACATTTTTAAAACATTTATCAACAATTAACAGTTGTTGTACTACTTAGCAAAATATAACAGTGAATGTTTAATTCTAATGACAATCCAAAACGGTGTTTAAACATGTAATATCACATAAAACAGTACCACAATTAATAAGTTCATACAGTAGCGTTATAAATTGTAATTGTAATGACAACTGCCCACTGACGCATACAAAATTGTTGCCAAACACTTAGGAAATATAGTGTCATCTACTCATTGGAAAATTTGTTATGAATCCAGTTAGCCTTTTCCTCAAGCGGGAGTTTCACGAATATCTCCCGCCACCCTGGATTTTCATATAAGTACTCGATAACCGGCAGGTAAAACTGTGTCGGTACTTGCATGGCCGTCAAGATGTCAATACAATTGCTCATGGAAAAAGGATCAGATGGAGCACTGGTGTTCTCTCTTTCCCTCTCATCTGCACTGCAATTGCTAGCCCTCGATCCCATAGTCCGCTTCTCCGCAAGCTCGTCCGTCAAGCTAAAAATGGCATCCGCAAGTGATTGTCCTCGGCTACTTCTGTTTCTCCTATTTCTCGCTCTTCCATGGCCAGATGTGTTTGGTCGTTTTTCCCCTGTCGTCTGATCAGGATCAGGTTCAAAGTCGCTACCATCCATGGGAACCGCGTCAGGATTGGAATAATTGGAGGTCTCCACTGGTTGGGATGTAGATGTGTACGCATATCTTCCAGTGGCAGATTGCTTCTCAAATATTATTTCATAAAGCTCCTTATGAGGAAGTCCCTTGTGGTAAAATTGTTGCGCCAGTGGGTTTTGCTGGTAAGTTAAAAGAATAATATATTAATGTTTAGCAGTCCGAAAAAAGCGTACATTTACGGTGTCATTGAATAATATTAGTTAAAAAATATGAAAATTTACCTTGACATATTCTTGCCAAACCTCAACGGGACACGTTGGACTTTGTGACTCGTGATCCCACCTGAACCCCGTGTGTTGCAGCAATTTCCGCCATGCTTGATAAGTTTTTCGCAGGCGAAAGAACTTAGAGGCTAATTGTGTGACGTTGAGTCTCCTGCCAGCCGCTGATGATATGTCGTCCAACATTGCCTGGTAATCTGCTATTTTTATTACGGTACCATGCAAATTTTTGGCCCGCTCAGATAACAGGACCATAAATTTGTGGGTCATTTCAGCAGACCAGGCCACAGAATTACTCATCTAAGGACAATATGGTAAGGGACAACAAACATTGGGACACCATACGAATCACCAATCACATTAAAAAATATAATACTAACATGTGGTGGTAATCAAGTAAACACAGATAAACTTATACCTCGTTCGATCCGACACTGCTTGATGACGTCAATGCAGGGGCAGATACAGACAATGTCGACCAACTGGGTGTATGACGAACTCCAATTCTGGAAAAACGTTGAAACTTTCGCCTCTGCTTCAAGTAGCAATTAACCCTGCGACGTTGAGGCAAATTATACTGACATCTGTGCATATGAGCGTAATTTGTTGTTATGATTAAAGAACGACGTCAAATCTATAGAACAAATATATCAGTTAGTGAAATCCGAAAAAAATAATTCTAATTATCCAATAATTCATCCATTACATACAAAATGTTACATATAGAACATATGAAGCTGTACAATTTTTTGACACTTGTGTTAAAAGGAAAAAAGTACTACATGGCAATTGAAATAGAAATAAGTACAATTACGTTGTATGTCTCACATAAGCTAATTGGATTCGCAAAAACCAACGTTCTCTTTACAACATATTTATAAAGCTGAAAAAAAAAAAATTTTCAAAACGCCCTTCCCTTCCTAATAAATTCACGCTACAACATATTATAAACTTGCAACAAAAAAAAAAAAAAAAAAAAAAAAAAAAAAAAAAAAAAAAACGATAGATTAAACTCATTCGCCAAACTCCAACACCAAACAAATTGACGCGCTCATCCAACATGTACAATACATTTACAAACCTGCAAAAAAAAAAAATCCAAAACGTTCCCTTCACTAAAATCAAATATTTCCGATGACAGATCTGATGGTTTGACGGTATTGTGGCATAACGGTGAACGATCGGAGTGTTTGTGGCTTGACGGTGGGTATCATGGTGGTTCGTCGGTGGTTGCGGTGAACAATCGGAGTGTTTGTGGCTTGACGGTGTTGTAGCTTAACGGTGAACGATCGGAGTGTTTGTGGCTTGACGGTGGGTATCGTGGTGGTCCGTCGGTGGTTGCGGTGAACGATCAGAGTGTTTGTGGCTTAACAGTGTTGTGGCTTAACGGTGAACGATCGGAGTGTCTGTGGCTTGACGGTGAACGATAGAAGTGTCTGTGGCTTGACGGTGGGTAACGTGGTGGTCCATCGGTGGTTGCGGTGAACGATCGGAGTGTTTGTGGCTTGACGGTATTGTGGCTTAACGGTGAACGGTCGGAGTTTTTTACTGAAATGTTGAAGTGAAGAAACAGTGAAGAAGCTGCTAATGTAAACTAAAATGGTGAAGTGAAGAAGAAAAGTGAAACCGTGCATAAACTGAAATGGTGAACACTGAACAAGTGAAGTGAAGGAGCGTGAAAGAAGAAATGACGAACACGTGAAAAAGGACTGCAAAAAAAAAACAGGTGAAGCAGCGTGAAAGAAGAAAAAAGAACGCGTGAAAAAGGAAGGCTGCAAAAAAAAATTCAAACGTGTCATAAGCTGTCAAAAGAGAAAGCGTGAAAAAGGGAAAGGCTGCAAAAAATAAATTCAAACGGTCAAGCTGTCAGAAAAGTGTTGGAATAGAATTTTGAAGATCCTATAATCTAAATATTGAACCAAACACTATTCGGAAAATCTGACTCAAAATATGGATGAAAATACTCATCCAAACGCAGCCAAAGCTATTATGGCAGACCTTTACACCTTCAAACTATACTATGGTAAACTTCCTTTTCCATTTGTTCTAATATCATAAAAATATGATTAATTAGACTATTCAAATTGCACTAGATCGTTAACTATGAATACGATCTAAGTAAATTGACAGTAAAAAACAAAAAATTGACTTATTCTTATGTATTGATAATTGATATTAAAATTTGAGTGAACGACATTTTTCCACCCAAATAATGGTCTAATGACATTTTTCCACCCATGGACTTTTAATATACCACTTTACTATCCGAACATTATATTTAGTTAATAATTTATGTTAAAAAACAATGATATTTATTATGAACACGAAAATACCCCCACCAAAGATCAACCCTGATTGTCAACCACTGTAAATCAAAGCTTCGCGTGCCTCAACCCAAATTTTGTTCGATTCTAGCATCGGAAATCAACCTCGTCACCACCATTCAACTCATCAGCATCCCCCACTAAAACTCCTCTCACCCCCACCCACAATAACTCCTCAATTGCTGGAAGTTAGGGACAATTGTGGAGTTCGCAATTTTTTTTCCAATCGCGCACGTCCCCTTCTCCAATTTGTTTTAGCCAGAATCTGACATTGTTGGCTTTTCTTAACCCCTCCACCAGCTTCCCCATCCTCCATAGACCAAAAGCCCCAACATTCCCAAGCCTCTCCTCCCACCATTCGTTGGCCACCATCTTGTTAGGGTTTCGCTGTTCTAAGCCAAATTTCAGTGGCTAACGGTGGCCAAAATCCAATCCAACACCACCATTCGAACCACCAAACTCCATATTACAAAACCCCCTAAACTCCATCACTGGTTAGCCCGTCGATCACGGGTCAAACTTGCCACCACCATCGTGACTGGATTTTTATTTTCCAGTGAATTTGGCTTCAATTTGATGTTTCTTTGAGGCTGTTTGGGCTTATTGAATGATTAAGGATTGATTATATTGGTTTTTTGGGTTGTTTCCATTGTTGAGGATGACCATTTTGCACTCTTTCGTTGGCATACACCAATTGCTCGACGAATTGCCCCACTCAATGTGCCCCATTGTGCAGTTGATTTGTGCGCACGCTTGCTGCACGCCTACAAAGGCTTTTCCTCCTGCCAATAATTGTTTTTCCGATTACCTATGCTCACCAAAGAGAAATTAGGTGCTGGAGTGAGAGGGGCTAGTGATTGGCGGTCAAAGGGGTGTGGATGATGAGGGTTTTATTAATTGACCACACTACCCTTACTTATAACAAACTTTTGACCATCATGCCCCTCTTTACTACGAAATTTACTAACAAAATTGTGTTTTAGGTAGTAAAGCAATATTTTAAAAGTCCATGGGTAAGAAAGTGTCATTAGACCATTATTTGGGTGGGAAAAAATTGTTTACTTTAAATTTTTTAAATTATCTATAGCTCAAGATATGTTACTTAAATTTTTCACTTAACTTTTTGGAACTATTTATGAATCATTCATCTATATAGATCCAACATGATGAGGGATATTAAGTCAACAGTAAATGTTACTACTTCAATTATTATCTTATCACCGTTGGATCTACACAAATGAACGATTTATAAGAAGTGTTGTAATACTTTCTTTCTAGCTAGTATACTCGTAAAATAATCAGTAAAACTCATTATATANTATGGTAGGATGGACTATGGAGACTTGTTATTTCATAGATATGGGGAAATGTTAATAGGGTAATTACAATATTATCCCTCAATGATTCCCCAACCACAAATTAGTCAGAGCCCACACCAGTCCCACCTCAACTGGATAAGAAAGAACAAAGTACACACAATTCTATACTCTCTTTGTGCTGTCCAATACATGCTTAACCAAACCCACTTGAATACTTGGATTCATTAACCAAATTCTAACTCAAACCCACCACTATTTTAGGGAAAAATTTACCAATCAAGGTTTTTTAGTGAATTTTGAGGAAGAAAAATGAGTTTTTCATCCAGAACAGTGAGGAAACTCCAGGTGGTGACGCCTGTACCTGCTGACATTGACATTGCTAACTCTGTTGAGCCACTTCACATCTCTGAGATTGCTCAGGAACTCAATCTTGATCCTAGCCATTATGATCTTTATGGCAAGTACAAAGCCAAGGTGATTCTTTTATTCATTTGCTTTCATTGTTTATCATCAATTTGTTTATTTCTGTTACTCGTGTGTTGTTTCTGTGTCAATCTTGTGGTTAAAGGATTTTTTTTTTTTTTTTCGATTGGCGTGGAACAAAAAGTATCCTTTTGTTTGTTTTGTATTTTGATTCAATCTAGTTTTGCAAATTCAAAGCCAAGGAGATTTATTTGCTTATGTTGTTTTTGGTTAAATCTATTGCTTAAAGATTGAAATTTTTTTAGTGATTTGATTGGTTTTTTAAGATAAGAGTGTGAACAAAAACTATATTTTTTTTGGTATTGTGTTTTGATACATAATTGGGATGCTTTTTATTGTTAGTTTCAGAATTCTGGATGCTATAATGATCGCATTTATCAATCACGAGTTGTATGTTACTAAAACTGTATCGTGTTGTTAATGCATAGGAAACAAGTCAACCCATTTGATTTCTTGTGTTACCCTTAAGTGTTTTCTCGGCAATCAGATTGGGTATCTGCATTTGAATGATTCGTTACTTGATTTTTTTGAAGGTTTTGTTATCTGTGCTTGATGAGCTTCAAGGATCTAGAGATGGTTACTATGTGGTGGTCGGAGGGATCACTCCAACTCCTTTTGGAGAGGGAAAGTCTACTACAACTGTTGGGCTGTGCCAAGCTTTGGGTGCTTTTCTTGATAAAAAGGTAAAACTTCCAAGTGATTTTATTGTAATGCATAGTGGTGGTTCATTTCCCTGGTATTGGAAGGAAGTCTAGCTTGGTGTTTATATGCAAAATCTGTTTAACGCAACTTCTTTCTGAGTTTCAATTTTCATCTTTGTTTATGGCTTAATGCTGTAGGCTAGGCAAAAGCTAAATCTGAAATATTATTGGCTCCAACGGTATTTTAAATTGTGTTAGATGTTCTAAGCTCTTTTGTAGTATTCATGGATACAGCATCCCTCTGTGAGATTGTTGGCTTTGGATTTCAGCCTAATATGGCTCTCGTCTTGCTGTTTGACTGCATAATTCCTTGAAGAATAGTTTAAATTATAGTTAGAACTTGTTCGGAACAAAGATATACTCACTAATCAGTCTTAGAGCAACAGTAAGCAAGCCATGTTTCAAAACGATGTCATTGATGAAAAAATTCTTGAAAAACAAAGATTATTTGGGTATCTGAATGGGTTATGGAGAAATATTTCTAATCTTTTCCCCAGCCAAAGCAAAACTGTAAACTTGATATTTCATTGAATTAATCCATTTCCTTGAAAAAGTTGTGTTTTGTCCACTTCTTTCTTTGCACATGTCATTATTTTCCTTTGTTCCATGGACGATCAATGAGATTACTGCTTATGTGTAATTTCTGCCAATACAAACTTTTTTGGCTGTTACTATTTGAGGAAATTTAAGAGACAAAGGCATGTGCTTCTAATGTACCTGAACATGTTATGTGTTCTTATCATAGTAAAGGCCTTTGATTGTCTGTTTCATCATGTCCTGCTTTTTGCGATAGTGTAACTAACAGAGTGTCTGTTTTCCTTTGTTGCTGAAATAAAAACTGGAGTAATGGTTTTGAATTTCAGATGTCGGTGAACTCTCTCATACGGGGTTCATGCCAAGGAAAACTAGAGTTTGCTTCTGGGACAAACTAATTCACTTTTAATACCAATTAGTTTTCCTAAAGGAATTAAATCACTTTTAGAGTGGAAATCAGTAAAACTTTCTTCCATTGAAATGATCGTTTAAAAGATTTACTTGCATGAGTATTAGCTGCTGTTTGACTTTTATTTTGTGGAACGTTAATCTCTTTAATCTTCCATGTTTGAAATGGAGTGCTTCTCATAAGGTCAACTTTTATTTTAAATCTATCTATTGCTTTTTTTATGAATCACTTTATACTCTGTTGTCTGAAAACTGAGTCTGCTGAGGTCAAAAGAGGGGGAAAAAAAAAATAGAGAAGCAAAAAAGTAGATTGAGTGATTGTCATGGATCTGGTTTTTTATTTAATTTAATTTCTAGTTTATATTAACCTACTGGTTTACCACCAGAATTAGAAGATGAAGCTGTCTTTACAGTTGGCTACTTTTCTTCACCCCTTCTGTAATGTAAAAGAATTTTAATATAGTGATGTGATAATGCAGACTGAGTTGTGACTAGTGGCTTTTTATTACTTTCTGTCGGGATTCTGTAAGGTTTAACCCTGAGCGTTTTTCCTGATTCTGATGTTAGGTTGTTACCTGTGTTCGTCAACCATCACAAGGACCGACCTTTGGAATCAAAGGGGGTGCAGCAGGTGGAGGTTACAGCCAAGTTATCCCAATGGATGAGTTCAATCTTCATTTAACAGGAGACATTCATGCTATAACAGCTGCAAACAACCTTCTTGCTGCTGCCATCGACACCAGGATATTCCATGAGTCAACACAATCAGATAAGGCTCTCATGAACCGGTTGTGCCCACCAAACAAAGAAGGGAAGCGTAGCTTTAGTGAGATAATGTTTCGACGACTGAAGAAGCTTGGTATCTCCAAGACCAAGCCTGAGGATCTTACACCACAAGAAGTTAAAAAATTTGCTAGGCTTGATATTGACCCGGATTCCGTCACATGGAGGAGAGTGATGGATGTGAATGACAGATTCTTGAGAAAGATTACTGTTGGCCAGGGACCAGAAGAAAAGGGGATGACGAGGGAAACAGGATTTGATATTTCAGTTGCTAGTGAAATAATGGCAGTTTTGGCCCTAACAACATCTTTAGCTGATATGAGAGAGAGGCTTGGTAAAATGGTGATTGGAAATAGCAAGGCTGGCGATCCAGTAACTGCTGATGATCTTGGCGTCGGAGGTGCTTTGACTGTGCTAATGAAGGATGCCATCAACCCCACTTTGATGCAGACCCTCGAAGGAACTCCTGTTCTTGTTCACGCTGGCCCTTTTGCTAATATAGCTCATGGAAATTCTTCTATTGTGGCTGACAGGATTGCACTGAAGCTGGTGGGACCAGGTGGTTTTGTGGTCACTGAAGCAGGTTTTGGTGCTGATATTGGAACTGAGAAGTTCATGAATATTAAGTGCCGATATAGTGGCTTAACTCCTCAGTGTGCTGTTATTGTGGCAACAATAAGAGCCTTGAAAATGCATGGTGGTGGGCCTGAAGTTGTTGCTGGGAAACCTCTTGACCGTGCCTACTTAAATGAGAATGTTGCTCTGGTTGAAGCTGGTTGTGTGAATCTAGCCAGGCATATTTCAAACACGAAGGCATACGGTGTGAATGTTGTTGTAGCTGTGAACATGTTTGCAACTGATACCGAAGCAGAACTAAATGCAGTAAAAAATACGGCATTGGCTGCTGGGGCATATGATGCTGTGATTTGTACTCACCATGCCCATGGTGGAAAAGGAGCGGTTAGTCACTTACCAACATTAGATTCAGAAAACTAAGAAGAATATACCTCATCTTTACTCTTAAAACTGCATAATTGAAAATAAATTAATGATAGCTCAAAATGCATTAATCTAACAACCATGACACACAACCGAGTTCTCTGGTTCTTAACATTCTACACACATCATGCCTTTATCAGAGAATATCAAATATTCTGCTGTTTCCCACAGTTTCCCTGTTCTTAGAGCGTGAATGTCTTATGGTCTACTTTCAAGCACTTCACTATTTTTCTGAGCCTAACTTCAGTGCACTAGCCCTAATTTTACAGAAAGTTTCAATTGTCACTGTGCATGAACCCTGGTTGCTTTATTCTGATATATGTATCTGGTTCATCTTTGACAGTAGAACTTCATGAACTTACATCTTGGGCAAACTAAATGATATATTGTAGCCAAAAGAGGAGCAAAATTCTCAATATATTAGAAATTTCATGAAAGGCTCATGCTTTTACTACCTGCAGTGATTCTGAGTTAGGCTCCTTTTGTGTGTTTTTATGTGATAAAACCAAACCTATAAGAACTAGTTTGTTGCTTCCATTAACTAGAAGTTTTTCTGTATCACGATTTTCAGGTAGACCTTGGAATTGCAGTTCAAAAAGCGTGTGAGAATGTGGCACAGCCACTACAGTTCTTGTATCCTCTGGATATTAGTATTAAAGAGAAAATAGAGGCAATAGCGAAGTCCTATGGTGCAAGTGGTGTTGAATACTCAGAGCAGGTAAACAACTCATGCCTTGTTCCAGTTTTCATAATCATCTCATTCATCCTACTTAACTGAAATCAGTATGGGATCTGCAAGTTGTAAAATTTGATCTCAAAGTGACTCATTCAATGCTCTTAGAAACTGACAAAATGAGGAAGTTCAGGAAATACTGCTTTTCTTTTCTTGAAAAGCATAGTCAGGATGGGAAGTCTGTCTTTTGATTAGGCATGATGAAGCTGTTTCGCAGCTGTTAATAATGGAAGTCATTTCCCTTCATAATATGAAGAGTCACTGATTTTTTTTCCTCCAAAAAGTGTATATTTTTGTGTTGTGAACATTATGATAGAATTTTCGGTCTCCAAAACACCAATCTGAGCCAAATTATTATAAATTCGTCCTTCATCAACTGCTATTTTAGTACTTGTTTATTGACTTGAGTTCTTTATTTTTGTCCAACTAGGCTGAGAAACAAATTGAGATGTATAGCAAGCAAGGGTTTTCTGTTCTCCCTATCTGCATGGCCAAAACTCAGTATTCATTTTCGCACATTGCTTCCGAGAAGGGAGCCCCAACTGGATTCATCTTACCAATAAGGGATGTCAGAGCTAGCATTGGGGCTGGATTCATTTATCCTTTAGTCGGAACTATGAGCACAATGCCAGGTCTCCCGACAAGGCCATGCTTTTATGATATTGATATCAACACTACAACTGGAAAGGTTGTTGGACTTTCTTAAGGTTCCGTGAAAGCTTTCCTAAGATTGTATTTTTCTCAAAAATATTCATAGAGCAACAACTCAGGTGAGAGCTCCTCTCTCTACTGCTGTTGTTGCTTGAATGTTCAGTTGTGCGCTATGCACATCTGTTTCATGTCGTGTAACTAAGAATTGAAGATTGAACACATCGAAAGAGAGAATAGTACTTGTTTCATCTTGCTGATTCAAATCGTTGGTGAATATTGTCCGACGATATTACAATCTTTAGATGAAGCTCATGAAAATTCAGTTTTATGGCTTTTCTTTATCTTGAGTTCATGCTATATATTATCAGCATTATGATAATTACTGAGCTCAACTAAATCTATATTTGTCCAAGTACGATAGAAGGAAAGGAAAAAGAAAGCAAATGCTTTCTTTTTTGGTTAATTGATGAAATATTGTAATTAACATGTAATAATGTTTTAGAAATGTATTATTTATTGATAATATATGTAATATCTTTTGGCAAAATTAACTACATCAAGAATGTTATTGAAAGATTATAACAGGATACTAAGGTCTTGTTTGTTTAAGAACTCATTTTCGGTTTTTCATTATTTCTCTATTCGTAAACTTTTTTATTTTCACAAAATAAAGAACTTAAGAGGAGTGAGAGATGAAAATTTCAATAAGAAATTCAAGATTCCCCTTTTTCTCTCTCCTCATTTATAAAACGTTTGAAAGATTGGCACAAATTGGTACAATGTGATAAAGTCCAAAGCAGATAGAGATGGTCGCCTTTGGCTTGCGGAAACCACAAGTTGCTTTTGAAAAAGCTTCCAACGTGAATGAAGTTAGGTGGATACTTTCTTTATTGTATAAGTAATACTATTTTTTATTTTCTAAATAATATAATTCTTTTTATTAAAAAAGGCATTATGTTGTGTAAATTATAAAATAAGACCTTAAATGATATATAAAACCGCGAAGAAACATACATTATATTATTATATAATAAAATTGGTGTAGATATTGAATATCAAATTTTTAACATGAGATTGATTTTGAAAACATCCATAAATTATGATCTAACAGTTTGAAATTAAGGTCAAAGAATCATTATTAACGTTAATTCAACAATTTAAATTAATATATATATATTTTTTTTATTTCTGCCAAACATTGACAATTACAACATGAGTTTATGAAGCACAAACTCTCTTTCAACAAATAAAAACTTTTATAATATTACAAACAGCACCCGAAATTATTTTCACACTATCCTTCCTCCCTTCACTTACATGGAGCTAACCATATCATCACCATTAAACACACTTGAAATTCCATTTCCATTAACCCTTCTGCAGTTCAATCTAACTTCTCCTTGACTCCCTGTCAAAGGGCTCAGGTTTCCCATCCGGATCATCGACACCGCGAAGCTTTGAAAGAAAACTCCCTGGTTGGAGCTGTAGAGGTTAACAATGTCAACGGTATCGGCGCCAGGAGTTGAGAAGAGCTCTTGATCAGTCTGAAGAAGTCCTTTCTTTTGTTGAAGAAGGGTGAAATAATCGTTGTCAAAAGCATCGGGAGTTGAGGCATCAAGATTAGTCAAAACACTGCCGTTTCCTCCTTGTGGGCAAAGAGCTTGAAGCTGTTGTAACAAGGTTGTGTCTAGGGTTGGATCAGGAAGATTTGTGTTGTTAAAATTGTATAATCTATGAATGAAAAAACGACACTGTGCCCTCCCAAATGTGTGAGCTCCTACAATAAAGAATCAATTGTTTAGTCAGAATATGGAACGGAAATTCTACGAAAATTTGATTGAAATTTTGTTTTTTTGATATATTTATTATGTTAGAAATCCTAGTTCGAATATATACAAATATTAGATAAAGTTCAAACCAGTATTTTTTGACATGATGAAAAGATTTGATTGAAATTTTGTCTTTAGATATATTTATAGTGTCAGGAATCTTGGTTCGGATTTAAAGAAAATCTAGATTTCTGTACTTAAGAATTTTTCAATGGATAAAAAATGTTAATTAAAAGTTAGAAATATAAACATTTAATTTCTGATTTTAATTTCAAGATAGTACAACGATCGTGTTCATACCAGTATTTTTGACATGATATGCAAAATTTAGCTGAAATTTTGTTTTTATATATATTGATCGGATCCGGAAACCTGATTCGGATTTAGAAAAACTTGGACTTCCATAGTAGAATAAAGACATTGTTGTAAATTGGGAAATATTAGTGAAATTATAATCTTGAAAATATTTATGGACATTTGATTTCTGAATAAAATTTTTAATTACCAGATAGTGCAACTAGATCAGTGTTGCCGTTGAGGCCAACATTTTGGAACTTGGCTTTGAGTCCGTCAAGGGTTTCAGTGGGTCCTGGAAGATTTTGATTGGCGAGAGTTCGGTTAGCTGTGGTGCTATCTCTTCTTCCTACTGGAACTGGCCATGAGGGTCCTCCTGACTGTCACAATTCATATTCGAAAAAATCAGTTATGGATTAACATTAATATATAGCAAAACATGAATAATATTATAAACAATAAACCAATATTTTCATGACTTTTGAGGCATTTTAGAGGTCAGAAGGTATATAGTAGTCATACCAAGAAAACAGATTCTTCAGCTGCAATAGCAAGAATATCTGCACAAGAAACAATTCCAGGACAGGCCATTTCCAGAGCGGCCTTCATTTGATCAACAACTTCAAAACCTCTGGCTGTGTTATTATTTCCAAAAGCTCCTTTCTCGCTGTCTATTGTGCTGGTGCCATCGAGCAATAGCGATGCATCACAGCCCTGAAATAATATGAACATACTGTTATGTGATATAGGAAATTAATTATAGTGAAAAGGATATTGTTTTTAATATATGGAACTAATCACTTTGTATGTGTTACTGAAAGTATAATTTGTTTCTTCTTTTAACGTGGATCTTGTTCGATGGTATTAGTAAAAAATTGACCAGTTTTATAATAAACTTTCTCATATTGAGAACTGTAAAATTTAACGACCTGAACAAAACAGTCGTGAAAATGAAGTCTAATGAGACTGGCGCCAATTCTGGGATCAGACTGAAAGGCTCTGAAGAGAACTCCACGTATAATGTTGGATGCGAAAGGGCATGTTGCAGCGTAAAAAGTTGGACTCAGCTGAGCCTGAGATAATGATCCTTCAAGCACAATTCCACAAAATAGAGCAACTACAAATTGATAGCGGAAAGAAGACATTTTCTCTCAAGAAGAAGAATTTGTTCAAAGGGAAGTTGTATGAATCTCTTTGATGCTTCGTTATTTATAACCTGACAAAACCACAAAGATTTGGAAGGAGAACAACAACACAGAAAGTTTCAAATTTTTAATAATAAAATATTTTAATTGAAGGAGTAGATTTATCGTGGAAAATTTTGGTGCATGTATAATGGATAAGTTGACAAAATGGAATATATTATAAAGTCGTCTTCAAATTTTTTATTAGTGTTAAAATTCCTGTTTGGCAAAGTTGCATTTTCAAGTTTTTGGACTGTTGTAATTTATTATAGTTTGTTCATTGTTAATTTAATTTGTCATTTTCGATATAATATCTTGAACAGAAAAACAATGGCACACGCCACATATATAATCTGATATTATAAATTATTAAGTCAGGTTTTTTTTTTTTTTTTTTTCAATGGTTGTGGATAGATAAAAATCTAGTTGATTGAGATTTTAACAATAAAAAAAATGTGATGGAGTTTTCCCTTGTGGGCTGCAGCCATGTGCGTGTCTACTTTCTAGGTGGTAGGTTATGACTGCTTTATATATATATAATTGAAAATTTAATTAAGTCAATATATCAAATCATTGTAATGCCTAGTTAATGTGGTATATGGCTATATGCTGATTCTTATTCTTTTACTTTCTACATTAGTAGTATAAAGTTGGTCTCTAATGGTAACTTATTCTAATAATCCCCTCAGATATGACTAAGTGACAATCCCCCTTGAGCTTTTGGAAATAACAAAATAAATAAGTTTTAAGTGTTAAAATAAATAGTTAAATGGCAATTTAGTAATACTTAGGAAATCTTTACAATGTAAGTTTATTAATGATAGGGGGTTTATGTTATTTTCAAAACTTCACGAGGATTTTTGTTATTAACGCATACCTTAGAGGGATTATTCATTAACTCTAAAAAAAAAAAAGAACTAGCAACCAATGATCATTAAAGAGGTTAATTGAAATTTAAAAACTTTTGTCAACTTTTAACTAACTTCCGTCATTTTGAATCTACATTATTCACATCATCATAAGAGCTAACATCATCCGTCTAGCTAGACCGTGGAGTCGTTGAGGATTTTAGCTCATTCATTCTTGTGATTTCTTTGTAAGTTTGCATTTGTAATTGTTTAGGAAAATCTGTCAGAATGGGAATATAATTAATACAAGTGTTGATGCTTGATTTTAATACCAACTATTCACGCGTGTGAAGTACTAAGCGGATTTAGAAATTACACGTGGTATGGAAGTGTAAAAAGAGAGATTGAACAGGTAGCAATTTTTAAAGGTTTGGATGTTCCAAGGTGGATCCTACGTCCACTGTGATTATATTAATGGTTGATTACAAGCAGGTCGCACTCGGCGAGCTGAATTACAAATAGAGAAAGTAAAATAAATGTAGAGAGAGAGAGAGAGAGGGAGAGAGGGAGAGAGTATATGTTTTGTGCGGTGGATGAGCCAATCCTCTAAAATAGAGGAGAGCCCTCTATTTTTAATAGGAGGATTCAAGTTGGTAATCATGAATTTGTGTGCGGGCAGGTGTGGTACAATTCCTAACCCGCTTCCCATTGGTTGTTTTGTGCGGAGAGAGAGGGAGAGAGTATATGTTTTGTGCGGTGGATGAGCCAATCCTCTAAAATAGAGGAGAGCCCTCTATTTATAGTCGGAGGATTCAAGTTGGTAATCATGAATCTACGTGTGGGCAGGTGTGGTACAATTCCTAACCTGCTTCCCATTGATTGTTTGTACGAGAGATATCCTTAAATCGCATAGGGCTTCAACATGTGAACAATTCCTAGCCACTCAAAAGTCTGGCGTTCACCTGCCTCACTGGCGATGACCTTACCCCTCTCGTCCTTGCGGGACGTGGTTGCATCCTGACGGCAGAAAAATCTCCTGAATTCGGATTGTCTTCTGCTGATTTAAGCTTACATTAGCCCTGGTTTTTGGGCAAAACAGAAGCCCCCCAGTTTTTAAGGTTTAAGGATTGAACCTTGAGAACTTCATTATTATGTCGCGACTCAACTTGTCCTGGGTGACACTTGATCGAGCTGATCGAGCTGTATGGATCCCTGGGAACTACATTAGCGACCTGATGTGGTTCTTTGTGGCAGGTTCAGTGACCTGATTCAGCTCACAATCAGTGCCATCTCAACATGCCCTGAGTGTTGACCCTAACTCGTGACTTGAAAAGACTCATCACATCTCTTATCAAAGGCAAGGAGTCGCATTGTTTTGAAGTCGATGTGTGACGAAGAGTGTTTATTCGAACAACCTCTTCACATGTTATCTGTTGCACATAACGGTTCACTTAACCAATAAAATATCCTTTATTGTGACAGGCTTGTCCATTACGCAATAAGTGCCAGCCATGCGCATTTAATGCGAGTCATGCCTAAACGACATTCTACTTCAGGGCATTAAATGCGGATAGGGGCGCATTTAATGTGGAGGAGGGTAACTCTGTCATCGTTTGGTTATTCCAATGGAGGGAAACGTCGATTGGTGTTTACGAAGCGTGGGGGTTACTCTTCTCCCAGATTAACGACACGTGGTCGTAATTAATGGCGAGAAACTTATCTCGTCCAAACGTCGCTTACCCAGGAAACCAATCGTCGCTTTCCCCCTATAAAACCCCGAATTTGCTTCAGACTTTTGCCATAGAACTTACATTCTCAAAAAGAAAAACGAAGCTGTTGCAAAAGTCAACCCGTCTTTTTCCGTTGATGCACACCATCTGTTATGATAGAAAGCTCTTCCTCCGCCGTCAAGAGGTAAGAAGGTTTTCTCTCTCGCTTTCTTTCATTATTTGACTGGTTTGTTCAACCTCCGCGGTAATGGCGGGTACGGGCTGTCCGGTAAGCCCTTGAGTGCATATCCTGGGATAGAGGTGAGGAGAGAGATTCAATTTTTCTTAAAGACGAGAAGTTAGGGCATAGATCCTTGGGGGTTCACCCCCAAAAGGTTTTTGAGGGTTTTTCTAGGGTTTTAGAAAAGATGCATTAGGGTTTCCTTTGTCCTTCTCGTCATCGTACGGAACACTATATGAAGACTAGGATTTTCTCTTTCTTTTATTATATATTATTTTTTTTGTCGCCTCTATTTTAGACCTTAGGAACAATGGACAACTCAACGACTAGGGTAGCCGAGGGCATGAGCTCATAGGCGCCAATCGCCCTATCGGGTCCCGTGCTAGAGACCTTGTCAGTGATCACCCGAGAGGAGATTCAAAAGGCAGTGGACCAGTACGCGCTTAGCGTGAGTGTCTATCAGCACAGAACCCGTACGGCTCGGAATCCCCTAGAGGGAAAGGTCGCGATCTCGGAGACGATCTTTAAGTGTGGGGCGCTGATACCTTTTCATCCTTTTGTTAGGTCGATCCTTAACCACTTCAAGGTCGCACCAATTCAATTAACACCCAATGCGTATATGATAGCCATTGCTATATATATCGCATGTGGTGAAAACGGCCTTGGTGAGTTGACGGTACTGGAGCTCGCATGCTCTTACTGTCTGAAGAAAAGCAAATATGAAGATTCTTTCTACCTTTCGAAGCGATTTACGATCGATTGAGGAATATTTGGTTACCCCAGCAATGTCAGGGCTTATGAAACCAAATTTTTCTTTTTTGAATACGATGGCGTCTGCCAGTTTAGGGAGCTACGTAGGTTTTTCCTTTCCATTTGCAAACTTTTCCACCTTCGGTTTTTGTATCTAATGAAACTTTTTGTCTTTTTGCAGGAAATAAGACGACCAGGTTGGCAAATCTAATGGATTACAACTGAATCATTGCATTCGGTTGTCTTCCAGACCATTGTCGTGACATGAGACTGCTCGTGACTATTGCCAACTTGAGAAAGTACGACTTTTTTAATCCGGAAGCATCCTTGGAGTCAGACCGTGAGTATCCCCATACTTAGAATGCTTTTTGGTTTCCTGCGGCGACATGTTTTAGTAACATACTTCTATGGTGCGTAGTAATCATGCTGCCCAAGGTGCCGAGGAAGTTTGTATTTCCTCGGGTTGCTCCGACTGAACCAGTCGAGGCGATCCTTGGTGATATCCCCACATGAGGGATACAAATTGGTGCCGAAGGGCAAACACCCCCAGAGAGACATGAGGAAACTCCTTGGTCCGCGGCTGCTCGTGCCCCCAAGTAGTAAACCACAGGCCAAAAGACTAAGAAAAGAAAACAGTTGCAGGCCAAGGAATCGGAGTCCGAGTCAGAGGGTGTTGGGGTATAGCTTGGGAGTTCGCAGCTTTACCAGGCCTTCCGTTTGAGGCGCGCACCGGGAGTCTCAGCGATCCTTGATAGCTCGAGCAGAAGAGAGGGGGAAACTGTGGTTGCTTGTAGGAGAGCAGGCAAATATTTGGTTGATGAGTTTCCAGTTCCTGTAAGGGTAGGCATGCCAGTGTTGGATTCTATGGGGCAACTCTCGGAGCACTTGCAGCCGGTAGTGTATACCCAGCTGGAGTGCCAACTAGCTTCGGCCTTCGAGGAGTTTGTGGCTTTCCAACCCACGGACTTGATGACCATTGCTCTTCAGCTGCAGAGCCAGGTAGGGTAGCTCGTCCTCATCGAGGACTTCAGCCTTAACTGATTTTTTGGCCTTAATAATTTTCGAAAAAATGGGGGCTAACTCTTGCTTCCTTTCTTATACAGACCCTGCTCGCCTTGCACATGGCCCAACAGAAGATCAATCTAGACTATGTCGAAGGGATCCACGACCTGAAAGAGGAGAATGCCAAGCTAAAGAAGGGCCTCGAAGATCGGGCTGCGGAGGCAAAGTTGTTCAACCTCCAGGCGAATCAATACCTAGCGGAGAAAAACTTTGCTCTTAGCACCGTGGATTTCCAGAAGGCTGAGCTCGAAAGGACAGGCAAGGAGAACAAACAACTCTAGAGGATAGTAGCCAGACTCACCAAAGAGGATGGCGAGAAATGGAAAGAGCTGAAGGCGAACTTGGAGCGTCTCGCGAAGGTGGAGGAAGAGAGAACTTGATTGTGGGAGAACTCTGAGAAG